AGCTCTTTGGAGGAAAGAAGCAATGAGGATGAGGCAGAGCGCAGCAGGGATGCTGCCCCCCGTGGTATGGGGGCTCAGCAGGTGATGCCATTGGTTGCACCCAGACGCCGCTGGACAAACTCATCTCCAGGAAAATGAGCACCTGAGACTCCAGGCAGAGCCACGTGCTTAGAACCCATCTGTGTTCATGCCAGCACGCCCGTGCCACGGGGCTGCTTTTGTTTGCTTTCACCTTCCGCAGGCTGCAGCGGGGTCAGGCTGCTGAGAGCGAGCCGGGAGGGCCCGCTGAGCGCTGCACGGATGCCAAAGCCCTGGAAAATAATTAAGTACAAAAATACTAATAGTGATTGACACTGGCCCCCTGGAGACCTGTCAGCTGCCTTCTGAAAGTGCTTCATGTCTTTCCGATGACCCTGATGATGGTGAAGAAGGAACAGAATTGGTGAGGAAGAAGCTGCAGCCTCCGGCCCCTTCCTTGTGTGCCAAGTGTGTTCATCCTCAGCGGAGCTGCCAGCCCTGCTCTGTGCAAAGCAGCAGCAGAAAGCAGAGTCCCTGGACTATATCCTGCAGCCTTTGTGGCCACTGGCTTCGTTCAGAGCCACAGCACCTTGCTGGGTGAGCTCAGGAGCAAGGACAGTAGACAACAGCCTAAATGGAGAGACATGCTCTGAGGTCAGGAGGCTCAAGAAAACAAATCCAAGGTTTTTGTACACATCCAAGTCACTTGGTATCACCTGGCACCACCCATGACAATAAGACAGGAGAAATGGCAGCACCTTCTGCTGGGAACTCCCAAAGTCTTTAATTTCAGGAAAGTGTAACACAGCTGCTGGCAGGGAGTTCTGTGAGTCATGACTGAAAGCTGCTGTGTCCACACAAAGCAAGGTGTCAGGGCCTCACACTTGGATTTGTACTCCTCAGGCACAGCCAAGTGCACAGGTGGGGACCATCACCCTCTCTCACCCTCCCAGGAGCTTCCCAAGGCTACCTGAGCTTCCATCAGGGCAGGACCACTTGAAATATTGGCAGAGTTGAGGTGGATCGAGAAATAATCTAGATCCATGAACTGGGGTTGAGGGGGACTGCACTGAAAAGCAGGTCAAGACATTGCTGTGCTCACCTCCAGCTGGCAGAGGAAAGCTCAAAAGCTCCCACAGACACCCCAGGATCTGCTGGGTCATGAAGATCTTATGGCAGTCATGCCTGTTGAAGGGGCTGTGGCTAAGCTGAGCTTGCTCCTTGAGCATCTCCCTGGGAAGAAGGGAGTTAAAAAGACGTGAAAAGAGATTGGAGCTTTCTCTTCCCCCAGCCTAGAGGTGGTTGCACAGATCCCAGGACAGGAAATACTTGGGAAGGGGAGGACCAGTCTCAAAACATAATGTGTCTCCAGCAAGTGGCTGGGTAGGGGGGATGACCTGCCAGCTTCTCCCTCTTGTGGGATCTCCTCCTGCACCAGGGCTCAAAAAACCCATGCAGGATTTCAGCAACAAGATGCAGAGCCTGACCAGAGCAACTGCCCCCTCTCATCTCACCTCCCCACTTCAATCCTGCTGCAGGTTGCAGATTGCACCAACTATGTGACTGGAAGGGGAAGGCTGGTGGATGAGCCAGCCCAGAGCTGCTGCCGGGGAGCCCAACCCACTAGAGAATCTCCAACATCATTTGCTGTTTAAAATCAGGAATACTTTCTTAGCCTTTCTTCCAGCAGGGCAGGGGACATCCACACTGTGGGTGTGCTGGTAGTGGCATTCCAGGGGAAGCATGGATATAGCTAGGGTGCTGGGCAGCGGCTGCACTAAGCACCCCCTGCACCCTGGGTGCTGTGGGGCAGAAAGGAGCACACGCAGCTGCTGAAGGCACCAGCCTGAACCAGCTTCTGCTCACACGGGAGCTGCTGTTCCTCTCTGAAACTGCAGGGCAAACTTGGGAAAGTGCCAGAGCAAGGGGACTGCTGGGGCACCTTTGGCCAACCCAGGCCAGTGCCCCAAGCAGCCACCCTGACACAAGGCAGACAAAAAAGTGAAGAGCTGAATGAGCACCATGAAAACACGGGACCTGGAAGCGCTGGGAAACAACTCCGATTAGACTCTTCATTGCGCTGCTAAATGGACAGAGCTCTCGGAACGCAATTCCCAGGCTTGCTTTTATGCTGCACGCGATTAAGAATTAAAGCGACTCAAACCTGAAGCTGTGTTCAAACAAATGACCAAACTCCCCAGGAGGCAAGGAGAGCCGTCATGGATTTTTCATGCCCATTACACAAGTGCAGGTGAGCAGTGGGGCAGGAGGAGGCAGCTCCCCTGCCTGTGGCCGGCTGGGCTGTGCTGTCCGGCAGTCAGGAATGCTCGGATAGTCGGCTCCAGGCTCCTGCATCTCGCAGACATGTGAGCACGTGGGCTGGAGACAGCAACTAGCATTTTGGGTTACTATAGCACTGCTGTTCTGCGCCTACAGCCATTGTGGTCCCTTCCTGTATGAATACACCCAGGCTCCAACAGATCTTGCTGAGCAGATGCTATCGGGCAACTCCACCACCAGCTACAGCAACCTGGTATTTAAGCTCTTCGCAATCCCAACATGTAACAGATGAAGATGAGATCAAGGAAGATGTATATGACAAGGAGAAAAACAAGCCCAGCTGCAACCAAAAGCTGTGAGATCTAGCTCTGCTTTGCCAGCAGTGAGTCGGTGGCTTGGAGGCTGCTTGGCCCTCACCCTGATGCCACAGGGGTGCCTGAGTGCTCCCTGAGGCACAGCGTGACACCTTGAGGACAAGATCCTATCTCAGCCTGGAGTGAGGGTAAAAGGTGTGCTGACGCTCAGTGGTTGGGCACTAGGTGGGTGCAGGTTGTCCCCTCTCTGTCTGCTCAGGTGGCAGCACCAGGGACAACAGGACCCCCACCTTTAGGAGAGCAGATGGAGCCTGTGCACAAGCCAGGGGTACCTGTGATGTCTGTCTGTGCATCCTCAGCCTCAGCTGCAGCAGCCCTGCTCTTCCTCTCCAGCTCTTTCATTTCAGGCACGTAGAAGTCCCCTTGGCGGGCGAGGGGACACACGAAGTAGATGCGGTCCTCCTTGTAGATCTCGATTCGGGGGTGGGCACACAGCTTCCTCTCCTGAAAGACAGCAGGGCACTGCAGGTCAGGGATGTGCCTCACCCCCCACCCCAGCAGCACCCTCCACATGGTCCTGCTGGCCTGGCAGCATCACCAACCAACCCACTTTGGCCACAGCCATGGAGGCCCAGCAAGGTGTGGTGGGTCCTCTCCTGAAACCACAGGGCCACATTCCCTATCACAAGAGCCCTCCAAGTGCCAGACAGGTTCCAGGAGGAGATGCTGAAGCCCCAGGGAGATTTGGCTCCCTTGGCTTAGCCTTGGTTTTGATGTGCCCATTTTAGGCTGGAGCAAGGGGTTTTGGGGAGCCCAGCAGCTGCTTCCCACAGACCTGCCAAGTCTCGGGTCCCTCCTGGCAGCACGGCCCCTCGAGCAGGCGTAGCACTTCTCTGCTAATTAATATAATCCAGAGCCGACAGCTCAAGCAGCTCCTTTCAGAACGCTGAGGGCAGGGGGAGTGGGAGATGAAACCCTGGCATTTCAGACAACTCCCCCTTCTCCTCTTCCTCATCTCACCTCCCTGCAGCATCAAACTTCATAGACCTCAGCCCCCCAGCCAGCCAGGGACCCATGAGGGGGACATGTCTCCCCCTGCACTGTCCTGGCCCACACCAAGCAGGGGCTGCAGGGACTCTTGGGGTGCTGGGGCCAGGCCAAGGAGCAGCTGGACCTCTCTTGCCACCCCCTCCCCCCCCGCCCGCCCGCCAGCTGCTCTCTGGCAGAGGGGGCGGCTGATTACAAGCCGGGTGAGAAGGCAGAGAGTCTCTTCAGTGGGTTTTCTCCTTTCTTTCCCCTTTTCAAATCACTGACAGCTTTTATTTAACCCTGCAACCACCCTGGATTATCCTCCTCCTCCCTGCCCCAACTATCCTCCTCCTGACATGTTCCCCCTGGCACAGCTTGCCCTGGATGTCTGTATCCTCGGGCAGGGTCCTGCCCCTCTGGGGCTCTCTGAAGCCCTGGGTGGCCCCTCTCCAAGGACAAGATCTATGGACACATCAATCCTGACTATACAAAACCTGTCCATTCCCAAATCCCTTCCATCCCTGGGGATGGACTGAGCTGATTTTCAATCACTTATTTCCCAGTAAATTCCTGGGACTGGGCAGAATCCCAAGAGGGATCGACAATCGACAAGAGGGAAGCCAATGCCAGCCCTCTACCCAGCACTGGCAGCAAGGCCATTTGGAGAGCCACCTCCATGCTGGCAGCATGCTGGGGAAGCAAGACAGGGAGAAAACCCCACGTCAGCTGTTTTTGGGTCTATCTTCCCAGGAAAACCCACACGAGCTGGGTCTGTGGAGCCCCAGTTTACACAGCAGTACCACCAAACCCCTGCAGAAGCTTTACCCATCCCATCCCAACGCCTCCAAGCCTGAATTTCAGCAGAGTCCCTCCTCTATCTGAGGAAGACCCACAGTTTTGAGCCTGGTGCTGCAGGGATGCTCAGGGATGCAGGCGGGCTTCCAAGGCACTTGGAGCCCGGAGTTCCCACTCGCAGGCAGGTGAAACACCAACACACACAGATCAAAAATGTATCAAATAAAAACAAGCCAGGCTGTTTTTAGCAGCAGAGCAGAGGCGGCTCATAGCACTCCTGCTTTTTCAGCAACAACGCAGACAAGAACCCTCCCCACTGCTTTGCCCCTTGCTCTACCAAGCACAAGCTCATCAACCAATCTTACTCGGTTCCTTATTTTAGGTTACTGCAACACGTACCAGAGATGGGTATCTCCGAGGTTTGCAGGGTTTTTTTGGATGCATCTAGCTGGCCCTCCACCACTTAATGGAGATGGGGACAACTCAAAGGATCTTAGAGCAGAGACACCTTCACTGATTTTATATGAGGTCTCTAACCAGTCTAAAACCCCAGGGTTCCAGTCCAGCCTCCAAGACATTCCAAGCTGACTTTGCAAAGGCCACCTTGGGATTATTAAAGAGGTGGATCTGGGACACAATCTCTCCCTACAATTTATCTAGGCTGTTATAACTCCCTTTCCAATTACACAGCTATAGTAGTGACTCCCCCAAAGCACAAACAATACCCCTTCCAGGCACATGAAATGTGGGAGTTGTGGCTTTCGAAGGAATAAAAATGGACAGCTGTATGAAGAGTAGGAGTGGCTCTTGAGACAAACACTGCTTCACAGTCAAGGACTATCCTATGAGAGAGACTAGGATGGTCCACCAAGACAGGGTGGCAGCTTTGTCTCCCCAAAGCCAGAAAAGCCCAGGTGCCCTGAAGCTACAGCCCATAGCCATGGACCAGGTCAGTGGGATGATGCTGAAACGGCTGGACACTCACTGCCAATACCAACACCCACCTCCTCACAGGCAGCTGCAAGGATGCTTAAAATCTGTCTTCGTCCCAGTTCATCCAGGGGTCTCCCCAAAAGGAAACAGAGGGAAAATGGATCCTGGTGGTCCTAATTGATGCCTGTACAAATCAAGTTGGGAACTGGGCTGGCAAGCTGGCCTCTGCTTCTGTGCTTCTTCCTGGAGCAACCCAGCTGCTGGCAGAACTGCTGCAGAGCTCAGCACTGGCAGCTGGGCTCAAGAGAGGACAAAATCTACAAGAAGGAGCAGGGAGGTGGGAGTTGGGAATGCTTTCCCCTGTTCGGGCTGGGGCATAAAGGGATGAGGCTGCATAAAGACTTGAGGAAAGGGCAGAGGTGATGAAGTGGGGAGGCTAGGACAACAGTGAATAAGATCACCCAAAAAAATGGACGAGGTGATCTACCAAAGGGGGTGCAAGGGAGATCACCCTTGGGATCATACCAAAGATGATCAGGAGGCAGGCAGAGGCCATGGAAGCACAAGCAGAGCTACAGCAAAACCCAACCAGGAGGTGGGTGTCAGCATTGGACAGAGTAATCTTAGGATTATCCCAGCAGAGAAGAAGGCTGTGAGGCTGCTGCAAGGGAAAGAACTAACCCAGAGAGACTGAAGAGCAGAATCTAAAGGCAAAGCCGTAAACAGAGAGCGAATTAGTGGAGGCTTAACCACATGGCAAAACAACAGAGAGGCTCAACAGGCAACAAAACACTTTGCAGCTGAGGAGGAAGCCCCTAGCTAACTGTGCAGCTAAGCCAACAGATGGAGTAGCAAGGTGGATGTGGAGTCTGCAAGGCAGAGCCCTCCAGTCAAATCAAACGCAGTCTCACACGGGCGGAGGAGCTCAGCAAGAGGTGAACAGTGGGACACTCACAGAGCCAGGGTCAGGCTTCTGGCTAGGACAGGAGGACTCAATAAGTAGGGCAGAGAAGGGACTCATCCCTTCCCAAGGTTGTGCCGTGCCACCTCCCTCCTCAGCACTGCCAGGAGCTTGCCCTTCCTCCAGCCAGCAGAGATGGAGGTGGCAGAGCAGCACACAAGGCTTATTTCTATCCAGGATCCTCCACCAGGCACCTGAAGCATTGGATTTATTGCATGTAATCAGTACAGTCAAGCTACACCCATACACAGCAAAGGCCAATGCATCCAGAGCCCACCAGTTTAATTCTGATGTGCACAGTAGCTCCAGCATACCCCTGCTACATCAGATTCACTGCTTCCCGTGAAGCCAACTCCTTCTTGGCCCATCTGAGATGGGGTGCTGCTCACCATCCTCTTGGGAGCAAGGTTTCACATAGGGGAAGATTCTTGCACTCCTCTTTCCCAGGTGAAATAACACTGCCCTCTTCCCTCTGGGTTGTTTCCAAATCACCCACCTCCCTGTGGGCTTTTCTCAATCTTGTCCTCATCCTTTAGTCTTGTGTATCAGAAAGGCCAGCAAGGATTATGCACCAAACCAACATTTTGGGAGACTTTCCCCAGCAAGGGGAGGTGACACCTCCCCAGCAGCACTGATTTTCCTCTCCCCACTCATCCATTAAGGAATAAACCCCATCACCTTCCCACAGAACATCTTCCGCATGGCCTCCTGCCTTTCCCCAGGAAGGCAGGAGAGCAGTCCCAGGGTTATGAGACACACAGTGAGGTGGCTGAAACATGACCTACAGTCATTAAAATCCAAGCTGAATCATGCCAAAATGGAAGGAGGTGGTGGGGTGCTCACATCGCATCGTGCCCTGTGGTGCCTGCTGGGAAGCAGGAGAGCTAGGGCACTGCAGGGACTGGCTTTGTCACTCTGTCAGGCTCATCTGCTCAGGAATTCAAATGTCACCAACTGGATCTGCTTCATCTCCCGCTGCTGGAAAAATCCAGCTCGTTAGGAGACCAGCTAACAAGAATCATGGATGTTCTTGGTATCCTCACCATGCCCAGGCATGCTAGGGCTGAGGCTCCACTGTCTATCCCAAAATGTTCCCAGGGTCACCGGGAAGGTGGCGAGGAGGTAGCTGCTGTCCTTGCCCTGCTCCTGACCATAAGCTCTGTGGCCCCAGAGCCCCCCCAACTCCATCACCTGGACGCATGGCTCATGGGGGGATGTTTAAGCCATGCCAGCCCGCTGAGTCTGTTTGGGGGACAATAGGTTGGAAGCAGCAGGGGAGAGGCTTTCCACACTGCCACTGAGCCTCCTGCTGGAGCAGGGTGGGGGCTGAGCTCTCCGTACCCCTCAGCAGCTCCAGGCTTCACCACAGAGACATCCATCTCACACAGCCACTGGTGTGTCATACCTATGCAGCTGTCACCTGCTCCTGTCACCCACCCCTGCCAGGAGACCTCCTGCCTGCAACACACAAAGAAATGCCTGTAAAACCAAGCTGGGACTGGAAAAGCCATGGACCCTACCAGCTACTCAGACAGGGATGGTGGAGGATCCAGCCCGAGCAACAACTTCATCCCTCCCAGATTACAGCTGGGCCTGCCCTGCTGTCGAGTTGCACTGGCAGCCTCAATATGATTTGCTAAACGCCAGTGATGCAGAGGCTGCCCTGGGGGGAACATGGGGAGATGCTAAGGGACACCCCTCCCCAACCCCCTGCTGCACCAGCGCTCTCCTCCCTCCATTTATTACACTGCTATGCATGGAGGAAGGACAGATGGTGGCTGCAAAC